TTTTTTTTTTTTTTTTCGTAGAATGTGTACTGCAAAATGATTGCTCCTGTCACCCCGAACAACATCTAGAGAAGCGATATTAGCACCTGTATTCCTCTTAATTTATAACTCTGTATTTTTACTTATTGCACTTTAGCCTACAACTGTATACTCTCTTCGGTGGTGTATTAGGCGTCCTGTGTTGTAATTTTGGCCTCATTCTGCAAATAGATCTCTTATGAAGAATTGTTTGGGTAAGAAACAGTAAAGTTCAGACTTATAACTGAACTAAATAAGTAATTGTTGTAAATTTTATCACATTTTCGGCGTTCTTTTAGAAGGCATTTGAACTTCGGGAGTTGGTGTGAGTTTTGTGTGTACAACCGTTCAAATACTATAGTAAACGATCGTTAACTTAATGCTGTTTTTAGCTGTTCTTCTGTGTCTGTATTATATATGGTATTATTTTATTGTATTATAGTTGTTATTCTGTCTATTTTTGTCGATTAAAAATTTTTCTGATCACTCGGTTTTGGTCTTTGACAAAGCATTATATATTATAAAGAAACGACAACTGGAGGTCACAACAGTATAAGTTTTTAGATCAAAAAGAATGCTAACACCAGTGTTAAACAGTGTTAATTACCACTATTGTAGTTGTTATCATTTGTAATATTATCATTGCCATCATTGATACCAGAAAGTTCCAATAAATATTTCGAAAGAAAGTTCAAAGAAAGTAATAAAAAAAAAAAATCAAAACTGAAAGTATTTAAGAGTTACAGGAAGTAATAATGTATTTTAAAAAAGACAGTGACTTATAATAATTTGAGGAACAAATCAAAGCTTTTCAGCAATCTTACGAGTTGTGATAACCACAAAATCATTGAGAAAACTATTGGAGTAAGTTGTTTGATTACCACAAAAGAAACTGATTGAAATTTTTAACCAAAGACAGAGATGAACTCTTAAGACCGGACTAACCTTACTTTGTCTGCTATCCAAGAAACTGTTTTTTTCTATAATTAGAAAAAAATAAATTTTTCATAAGGAAAAATTCAAATATCATAATCTTGAAAAACTTTTCTATTTAGTGAACCATACAGAATTGATCGTAACGAAACTGCCTCGTTAACAGTTAAAAATAAATTTCAAACCAAGCAATTTTGCAGCATCATAGATGATTAGAAAACAGTTGTTTTCGGCATTCCTCTGTATTCATCTCTTAAGTTTATCGAAAAAATATTGTTCAACTGTATCAAGAAGTTGTTTCATTTCGCAATTTGAGGAAACATTTGGCGTCAATTAAAGCTACAGAATGTTACGACAGAGACTTGAAGATGACGGCTACAAACATTGAGAAACTAGTCGACAGCATATGTTACAACTTCAGTTCCGACAGCAGATTCAACATCGAGACAAGGCTTGTCGCAGTTCTCCGCAGTGTTGCAGACGTCTTTTCAGTTTTTGACAGCACAATGTCGTTGGGTAAATTTTATAAAAAACAGCGACATTACCTCTTCACGGTAAAAATTTTCTAAGAAAGACAACATCAACGATTAGAAATTTTTGTTCTCGCTGAAGACCTGGCCTTTTTTAAATCAAATCCTAATCTATTTTTCAATTTCTTCAAAATTTTCACTTTTTGCTAAATTTTTTCTCTAGTTAAACCATTATTATATTTTAAATTGCTGTTTGAATAAATTGTTAGAATGATGCAGGCGTTATGAAGTCACATTTTAGAGTTCATATCTGTCAAGTACACATAAAATAAGACTAAATAAGTTTTTAAAATCTAATAAACATTTTAAAAGTTCTAACTTATCAAATATATGCGTTTAATTTATTGAACAAAACCGAAAAAACGTTTTAGAAAGATCAGTCAGACAAGTCAGAGCCTGAAAATTTTAAAACCAGTAATCTAAAGCAGCAATAATTGGTGTTTATTTATAGATTTATTAGGAAAACCAGTCAGTATCTATTACAATTAAGGATACATTTAAGAGATCATAGACGCATTTGAAGTAGCATACAGAAATTTGTATGTGCTTAAGAGCAATTCTAAGTATCGTATTTTAAACTGAAAACTGGTGATACACACTAATTATTTGTACTTTTTGCTAATACGGTGAAAAGATGTGAAAAATGTATTGTTCAGTAACCTGAAAACAACAACTTTTTTTTTTTGTCTGTATTTGTTTTTATCAACGATACTAAAGTGTTTTTGTGTAACGCACATTAAAAATAGACATAAATGCGGACTTCACCGAAACGAATTAAGCATCGAAAATTAAATACATATTAAGGTTTATAAAAAAAAGTGTTTGTTTTAAAATATTAAGAGATCTGAAGAAGCTATTGATTAAACGACGTCTAATGATTTTCAGCACTGTTAAAAGACACATTTTTCTACAGATGACTCTTCACTAATTTCGGTTGGTCTCAACAAGAAGAAGTTTACTGAATGAAAGCGTAACTTAAAAGTCAACAAAAAAACTTACACTTTTTTTGAAAAATTAAATTTTTAAATAGAATAGTGAAACGATTCGATTGCCCAAATAAAAAGGTTTTAGAAAAAGAGAGAATTTTTGTAAGAAACTGTTGAATGGTGGCTTTATATCTTCACTGTTCAGTAAACAAAATGCTCATAATATATTTACCTGGAATTCTCAATTACTTTAAACAATAAGATCTTAGTTACTTTTCGCTTTAGTAACCAGATTTTTATTTGTTTTATTAACTAGATTACTAAAAAAACAAAAAAAAAAATAAGGACAGTAGAAAAATGCAAATGCAGCAAAATTTGGAGTTTTGAGACGTTTTAAAATTCAGAGTAACAAAGTAAGGTATACCTTTAATTTGTGATCATAATTGAATGCTTTGCAATAAGTTAATAATAGCAAAAAAAAACTTCTCTAGTAACTGAGAAAATACTAAAGGTTATTTTATGGCTTAGTTCGCTGAATTTCAGGCAGTATTATTTGGTATTAAGGTTGTCTATCCAAAATTTGAACTTATTTTGTAGGTTTTACCTCATAGTTAAACTAGCAGTTTTTGTTAAGCTACTTGCTTCTCGATTCTGTTTTATATGAGATCAAATTTTTAACAAAATATAAGGCTGCATTTCAACTATTGCTCAGTATTAGCTGGTGAACTAGGCAAATAAGCAGCTGGAACTATTTTTGGGCTAAAGCTTAACTATTGTGTAGTACTGTCAGGAAGAACAGTATTTTTTACAAATATTTGCTGCTATTTGTTTTTCAGATTTTTTAGATTTTTTTTAGAACAGTCAATGTAAATGTTTCGAACTTACTTAGATAAATTGTACCTATGACTTAGTCACCGTTTCTCAAGAGTTATATTTCAGCTATACAATTTAGAATTCCGCATAAAATAGTCAAACAAGTGTTCATCTATTATTTTGCACCTATCGATGTTCAAGCTGTTTAACCAGCTTATAAATACCATTTTAGAGCAGTGGTGTTTTTTAAAAGAGATGGTAAATAAATTACAGTAACAGACTGTCAAAATTGCGGTTTAATTAGGTGAATCAAAAAATCACAAAAACACTCAAAACCGGAATTGGGGTAAAATGTATGCTATTTTCAGCTTTAAACTTTGAGAAAGTTTTTGCTGAACAGATTTACAATTTGCTTTTATAAATACATAAAATCTTATCGGTATTACTGTCAATTTAGTCTCTTCGCAATGTTCTTCATGGATTTGGCTAAAAATTTTGACAGTTTTTGACTGGTTCTAGAAGTTGTTTTCAACGATGTGTAGTAAAAGATTTGTTATTTAGAAAGTTCCTTAGAATGTAGCTTTTTTGAAACAGCAATTTCAAAGTAAAATCAAGACCATTATTTTATCATGTACCTGGTTTTTACGAAACTCAAAGCCAAATCTTGTTTTATCTGTTTCAGACAGCCAATAATTGTTACACTTTAATTGAAAAACTAACCAGACACATTTAGCAAAACAAAAAAAATTAGCTTTCGCAGTACAAATACTTCAAAGACAAGGCTTTTTTTTTATTACGTTTTATTGAAACAAAAATTTTGAGCAGATTTGTAGTAAAGAATTATTACACAAATATACGACTAACCAAACGCTTAGTTACTTAAAACATGTTTTCACTAAAGTCTTTTCGTGCTTCTGAAGAAGACTGAGAAGAACAAGCTAAAATTATTTAGCACTTTGAGCCAGCTCTTCGTTTTCTTCATTTGTCGAATACATTAGGAATCAAACGATTTAGAGGATTTTTTTTTATAGAACTGAACACTTTGTCCAATTTCCGAATTATTCTTAAACATTGAGTCATTTTTTAACTCACTGTTTTTAACTATTACACATCAAATGAAATGTTTTGCAGATGTAACCTTATTAAACAGACAAAACTGGTGTCAGTGATTAGAAGCACCTGAAATAAAAGTATAATGTTTTTGGCTATAAATTAAGCTTGTTTTGAGAACTGCATTTATTGGGGCCTGCAGCAGCTCTCTTCGCATTTCTGGCTTGCTTTTTGTTTGTTCAAGTATTCCGATTCTATTGCAGCTTATAATCGCCAGTTCTGCCGTTGTAGCTGG